CCATGTCAAGCTATTACAAACTTCATCTTCACAATGTCAAGTTATTACAAACTTCATCTTTACAATGTCAAGCTATTACAAACTTCATCTTCACAATGTCAAGCTATTACAAACTTCATCTTCACAATGTCAAGCGATTACAAACCTCATCTTCACAATGTCAAGTTATCACAAACCTCATCTTCACAATGTCAAGCTATTACAAACTTCATCTTCACAATGTCAAGTTATTACAAACTTCATCTTCACAATGTCAAGCTATTACAAACTTTATCTTCACAATGTCAAGCTATTACAAACTTCATCTTCACAATGTCAAGCTTTTACAAACTACATCTTCACAATATCAAGCTATTACAAACTTCATCTTCATAATGTCAAGCTATTACTAACTACATCTTCACAATGTCAAGCTATTACTAACTTCTTCTTCACAATGTCAAGCTATTACAAACTTCATCTTCACAATGTCAAGTTATTACAAACTTCATCTTTACAATGTCAAGCTATTACAAACTTCATCTTCACAATGTCAAGCTATTACAAACTTCATCTTCACAATGTCAAGCTATTACAAACTTCATCTTCACAATGTCAAGTTATTACAAACTTCATCTTCACAATGTCAATCTATTACAAACTTCATCTTCACAATGTCAAGCTATTACAAACTTCATCTTCACAATGTCAAGCTATTACAAACTACATCTTCATAATGTCAAGCTATTACAAACTTCATCTTTACAATGTCAAGCTATTACAAACTTCATCTTCACAATGTCAAGTTATTACAAACTTCATCTGTATTTAGATAATAAATTACTTGATTGAAAATCACATTCAATAATTTGGAGATGAAATCAAGAACTCTGAAACATGTCTGTATCTAACTAGCTTGTCAGAATTAAAATCCAGCTTTCTTGTTAAAATTTTTTATTAGATTGGAGAAGGAGGCTTGCAATGACAGACAGTTAAAATATGAAAAAGCAAAACAATATATCTGGTTTATAAATTACAGATGAGGAAATGTAAAATCTTTTTTTTGTTCTAATGAAATAGTTGATAATTATAATTGAAATAATGTTTGATTTTTTTTCAGAAAAGAAAAATGAATATAATAGTGTTGCACCTGAAGAAAGTACAGAAGGTTGGTTGAAATTTTATTCAAGGTCAGATGTTAGGGGGGATGGGGTTAGGGGGTGTTCTGATTGGAGACTGAAGAATGTTGTAAAATGAACCTTCAGTTCAGATGGCGATTTAATCCATTTTATAGAATTCATGGAGTGGACAAATTCTCATATTGATTTCTATTCAGAAAAACTTTTAAAAGTAGTCTGGCCCTACCCATTACAGATGGGATAAGATAAGATAAGATTTATTGTATATACGCCCATTGTGGGCAGCATACAAATATAAACAGTATAATTATGTGAAAAGAATATTGAATATAGATTTAGTATAGATATATGATGATACATGCAGAATAGATAAAATAACAATGGTACTTAATATATAAAACAATATACAGGTATCATAGTTCCTTATAGCCTGATAACAAACATAAAACAGTATAATAAAGTGAAAAGATTAAATGAATATAGATATAATATAGTTATAATACATGCAGAATATACATCAAAATATCAATAATACAAAATATAGAAAACACAGTAAAGATATCTTGGTCCCTTTTTACATTCATTAAAAGCAAACAACACAAAACGAGAAATGTCTTTTGCTATAAAAGATGGTGGGTCTAATATAATATGAAGGGATGGGTATAAATTTGTATAATTTATAAAAAATGGGAGTTAAATATTTCTCTCGGAGCTGACTGATGTTCATCTTCAACCTGATTAAGATCACAGTGTTGACATATTCTATTATTTACAGGGACATGTCTGTACCGACCTCTCTCTATTTTCAAAGAATGGTCACTCATTGATATTCGTTTGGGTTTTTTTTTTAGAGAAAAGGTAGAAATAAAGGATTTGACTTTGGCATAAGTTCGTAATTTGCTATATTCCCCATGAATGGAGGCAGCTTAAATCGTTTCGAAATAGTCTTCAATGGTTGATCTAATACATTTTGAGGATTAATTGATTTTGATATTAAAAATATCAATCAGATTTAGTACAGTCTGAGTCCAGGAATTTTGAATGGACAGATCATCAGTCATGGCAGAGTATAAAAGAGGGTTTTTAAATTGAGTTTTGGGGGTCAAGTAGTCTTTTTAGATATAAGATCATACGGAGATAAATATCAGTTTGAATTGGAAAACGTGAGAATTTATACAAAGCTCCAATATTTGATGACTTTCTAGGTAATTCTAATATAGATTTAGCAATTTTTATGGTAACTAACCAATTTTCAAACCTGACTTTTTTTGATTTGGCAACGTCCCCTCCCCAAATATCAGCACCAATTTGTTTAACGACGCTTTTATACAGCTTCAAGAGGGTTTTTGTTGGGAGACTGTCGGGCGTACAAATGTTGTTCTCGATACAGAACCATGCACGCTTGGCTTTCTTACTTAACTCAGATATTGTGTATTTAACAGACCCGTTATTGGTAAAACATATACCCAGATATTGGCACGTGTAGAGCTAGACACAAAAGGTCACATTTTATAGGAGTTGCTACGATCCAATTTGGGATTGGTAGATTTTGAGAATTTTTTAAAGCAAAATTTGGCTTAACTTTTGATACCTATAAAACACTAAATGATTAATGAGGCTATCGAGTTAAATTACAGAATATTCTCAAATTTTTCAATGTGATTTGTGAAACCAATCAACCATTTAAAGATTTAATTTTTCGTTACATTACAGTTGAATTGAATTGAAATGGAGTAAATGATAAACTGTTAAAAGAATCTGCAGACTATACTTCCAGAGATGAAACAAGAGTTGAAATGTCACCAAAAAGACCCACAGACAATATAGATTCTCTAAACATGTTATAATAACAGTATATATAACATAGTGTAGTGAACTGTCTGTTATTAAATTGTATTAGTTTGATAGAGAATTATAACTCTCTAAACATGTTATAATAACAGTATATATAACATAGTGTAGTGAACTGTCTGTTATTAAATTGTATTAGTTTGATAGAGAATTATAACTCTCTAAACATGTCATAATAACAGTATATATAACATAGTGTAGTGAACTGTCTGTTATTAAATTGTATTAGTTTGATAGAGAATTATAACTCTCTAAACATGTTATAATAACAGTATATATAACATAGTGTAGTGAACTGTCTGTTATTAAATTGTATTAGTTTGATAGAGAATTATAACTCTCTAAACATGTCATAATAACAGTATATATAACATAGTGTAGTGAACTGTTTGTTATTAAATTGTATTAGTTTGATAGAGAATTATAACTCTCTAAACATGTTATAATAACAGTATATATAACATAGTGTAGTGAACTGTCTGTTATTAAATTGTATTAGTTTGATAGAGAATTATAACTCTCTAAACATGTTATAATAACAGTATATATAACATAGTGTAGTGAACTGTCTGTTATTAAATTGTATTAGTTTGATAGAGAATTATAACTCTCTAAACATGTTATAATAACAGTATATATAACATAGTGTAGTGAACTGTCTGTTATTAAATTGTATTAGTTTGATTGAGAATTATAACTCTCTAAACATGTAACAGTATAATATTTGTTATTTTACTTTTTATAGTCCTAGATAAACATAGCTTATTGTTATATTTTTTAGTTTGTTATTAGATTGTTTAAGTTTGATTGAGAATTATATTCTCTTGGTTTATATCATTATAATAATTATAACATAGTTTTTTATAGTCCTAGATAACCATAGCTTATTGTTATATTTTTTAGTTTGTTATTAGATTGTTTAAGTTTGATTGAGAATTATATTCTCTTGGTTTATATCATTATAATAATTATAACATAGTTTTTTATAGTCCTAGATAACCATAGCTTATTGTTATATTTTTTAGTTTGTTATTAGATTGTTTAAGTTTGATTGAGAATTATATTCTCTTGGTTTATATCATTATAATAATTATAACATAGTTTTTTATAGTCCTAGATAACCATAGCTTATTGTTATATTTTTTAGTTTGTTATTAGATTGTTTAAGTTTGATTGAGAATTATATTCTCTTGGTTTATATCATTATAATAATTATAACATAGTTTTTTATAGTCCTAGATAACCATAGCTTATTGTTATATTTTTTTGTTTGTTATTAGATTGTTTAAGTTTGATTGAGAATTATATTCTCATGGTTTATGACATTATATATAAGGTTAACTTGAGATATAAAAACACCAGGATGCTATTTATTCTGTTTAGAAATGTTTATTCTTTATATATATAAGATATTGATAAACTCAAAATTACACAGCATATTTTTACCAACTTACCTACTTTTCACATATATCAGTTACAGTACAAATTATCAAGTTTATATTTTATTGTGTAATATTGTACACTTGTTATTGTTACCAACTAAAAACAGTTTCCATCCAGTTATATCAATATTATTATATACTTATATTTTTCTACTAGAATTATATTTTGATAGAATTTTTTATTGTTATTTGCTATTTTGCTAAGTTTTTGATAAAATGTAGTGATAAATCTTAAATATGAACTTTCTTAAAGTGTTGATCTTTGTTTTCACACATCAGTTGTACAAATTATCAAGTTTATATTTTATTGTGTAATATTGTACACTTGTTATTGTTATCAACTAAAAACAGTTTCCATCCTGTTATATTTTTATATACTTATATTTTTCTACTAGAATTATATTTTGATAGAATTTTTTTATTGTTATTTGCTATTTTGCTAAGTTTTTTAATAAAATGTAGTGATAAATCTTAAATATGAACTTTCTTGAAGTGTTGAACAATGAAAATCTATAAATAGATATAGATTCAGTTGTATATTTATGAAACCATCAGAAAATTGGCACTCAAAAACCCAAATCAACAACGAACTACAAGCTTTCAAGGATAAAGAAATCATTCTGCCCCCTATTTGTATCCCCAGTTCCACTGGAAGAAAGCTACCCTGAGAGGTTACAAAGCAAATATTGTTTATTAAGGGGACAGATTTGTTTGATTCTCTAGTCTCAAAAACGGGAAGTTTTTTTTTAGCTGAGCTAATCAGTGATAGTGTTCACAGCTCACCATCATATACATAACATAACAATACTGCTATCTTCACAATGTCAAGTTATTAAAAACTTCATACTTATACCTTGACTGTAATAGCCACCTTTACTGTATCACGCAATGCAGCGATTTGATTGGATTGTATGCCAACGAATACAGCCAATCATATTTCTCGACAGAAAGACAGTAAATATTATGTCATATCATTAATAGACTTTCTGTTAAGGATTCTGATTGGCTGTATTCCCAGCATACAATCCAATCAAATCAAATCAATCAAATTACAAACTCCTGTGATACATGGTCATAATTGCTTGACATTGTGAAGAAGTAATACGTCTTACAAAGAGGTTTCCATAGCAATAAATTCATATTATTGCCTCTGAAGAGATTGATAAGATAAATAATTAATTGAAATTCAAACATTATACAAGATACATTAACTATTTTATTCATAAAACAAATACATTTAATATCAACAAGAAAAAACATTCAACTTGATTTTAGTCGTTTCACTTTTTTCTTCTGTGGTAATGGCAATTTGTGTTTTTTACCCTAAAATAGAAAAAATAATTTCCAAATTTGAAATCAACAGGAAGACACACAAGGCCATAAAAAAATATGCCCAGCTTTACGAATGTTAATTAAGGGATTTGATTGGATTGTAATACAAGCAAATACAGACAATCATAGGTCCAGACAGAAAGTCTTAACATAGCCATAATGTTTACAACATTTCTATCCAGTGCTCTGATTGGCTGTATTTAAGCGCAGGCATACAATCCAATCAAATTGCTGTGGCAATGGCAGTCAAGGTATAAGTATGAAGTTTGACTTGACATTCATTCGACCTGACCAGTTCTCAGTATCAACGACCAAACCAACAACACAGAATCATCCAATTTGAACCAATCCAACTACCAACTACTACGACTACCAACAACTACCTAGTTTGTGATATCAGTTAGCTGGAAGCGAACGTTAACTTGTCATCTACCAACAACTGCCCAGTTTGTGATATCAGCATCCACTGGAAGCGACCGTTAACTTGTCATCTACCAACAACTACCTAGTTTGTGATATCAGCATCCACTGGAAGCGACCGTTAACTTGTCATCTACCAACAACTACCTAGTCTGTGATATCAGCTAGCTGGAAGCGACCGTTAACTTGTCATCTACCAACAACTACCTAGTTTGTGATATCAGCATCCACTGGAAGCGACCGTTAACTTGTCATCTACCAACAACTACCTAGTCTGTGATATCAGCATCCACTGGAAGCGAACGTTAACTTGTCATCTACCAACAACTACCTAGTTTGTGATATCAGTTAGCTGGAAGCGAACGTTAACTTGTCATCTACCAACAACTACCTAGTCTGTGATATCAGCATCCACTGGAAGCGAACGTTAACTTGTCATCTACCAACAACTACCTAGTCTGTGATATCAGTTAGCTGGAAGTGAACGTTAACTTGTCATCTACCAACAACTACCTAGTTTGTGATATCAGTTAGCTGGAAGCGAACGTTAACTTGTCATCTACCAACAACTACCTAATCTGTGATATCAGCATCCACTGGAAGCAACCGTTAACTTGTCATCTACCAACAACAACCTAGTTTGTGATATCAGCATCCACTGGAAGCGACCGTTAACTTGTCATCTACCAACAACTACCTAGTTTGTGATATCAGCATCCACTGGAAGCGAACGTTAACTTGTCATCTACCAACAACTACCTAGTTTGCGATATCAGCATCCACTGGAAGCGAACGTTAACTTGTCATCTACCAACAACTACCTAGTCTGTGATATCAGCATCCACTGGAAGCGAACGTTAACTTGTCATCTACCAACAACTACCTAGTCTGTGATATCAGTTAGCTGGAAGCGAACGTTAACTTGTCATCTACCAACAACTACCTAGTTTGTGATATCAGCATCCACTGGAAGCGACCGTTAACTTGTCATCTACCAACATCAACCTAGTTTGTGATATCAGCATCCACTGGAAGCGAACGTTAACTTGTCATCTACCAACAACTACCTAGTTTGCGATATCAGCATCTGCTGGAAGCGAACGTTAACTTGTCATCTACCAACAACTACCTACAACTACCTAGTTTGCGATATCATCATCTGCTGGAAACGAACGTTAACTTGTCATCTACCAACAACTACCTAGTTTGCGATATCAGCATCTGCTGGAAACGAACGTTAACTTGTCATCTACCAACAACTACCTAGTTGGACATTTTAAAGAGGACAAACTTCTGAATAAAAAGTTTATAAACATCTTTACAATCCCTTTAAGTTAAAATAATTACTTACATTTAAAGTTTTGCTGAGTTTTTTAGGTTTATCTTCGACAGCCTGTTTTTGTGTCACCTCCATTTCATCAAAATCAAAATCTGACCCCCCACCATCATCCTCTTTTTCATTTCCGTCTTCTAAAATAAAAAAAAATAATTTTAAGATTAGGTTAAATGGAAAATCAGTCTTGACAAAGAAGCTGACACACGTTTCAGATACACAATCCTCATCAGGACAGCTAGTTTTAGAAATGGAAGTGAACTTTCCAATATTGGACTTAATGTTAGCTAATTGACAAGAGCTCATCTCATGCTGTTGAGACATGTTTCAGATATACAATCCTCATCAGGACAGCTAGTTTTAGAAATGGAAGTGAACTTTCCAATATAGGACTTAATGTTAGCTAATAGACTAGAGCTTATCTCTTACTGCTTACACATGTTTCAGACATACAATCCTCATCAGGACAGCTAGTTTTAGAAATGGAGGTTAACTTTCTAATGTTAGCTGATTGACTAGAGCTCATCTCATACTACTGACACATGTTTCAGATACACAATCCTCATCAGGATAGCTAGTTTTAGAAATGGAAGTGAACTTTCCAATATAGGACTTAATGTAAGCTAATTGACTTGAGCTCATCTCATGTTGCTGACACAATTTTCAGATATACAATCCTCATCAGGACAGCTAGTTTTAGAAATGGAAGTGAACTTTCCAATATAGGACTTAATGTTAGCTAATTGACAAGAGCTCATCTCATGTTGCTGTTTCAGATACACAATCCTCAGGACAAAGTGTTTCCCTTTATAAAACTAACTGTCCTGATGAGGATTGTGTATCTGAAACATGAGGCAGCAACATGAGATGAGCTCTAGTTTTTGCCCTACCTTCTTCTGGATATAAATCTGAAAAATCATCATCATCATTCACAGGCCTGTCATCGTCATCAGAATCTATATCCAGAAATCCTCCATCCCCAACAGCACTGGCAGAGACAGCCACAGGATTCTTAACCTTTGAACCTTTTGTTGGTAAATTACCAAACATTGAAAATTTCTCGTCATTGTCTGACATGTTATCCTCGTCATTTTGTTGCTGCTGTTTCTGTAAATTTCCAAAAGGTTTAAATTTTTCTCCAGTTTCTTGACACCTTTTCCCTGCAAAAAATTAAAAATATATTAACAAATATTGTTTAGTCTAAGTTTGGCAAAAAGCTGCAAAGATTCTTACAGATCAATTTGATAAAGCTAATAATACTTACTTACTAAACAAAACTATGAATCAAAATAATGAATCGCGAGATAAAAATACATTCCAAGATATAGGACTGACTCTCGAAAGCAATTACAATGGCTTCAGAATTTTTCTTACCCTGAAAAGGATTTGAACCCATGGCACTCAATCCCCTTGCAATTCAATCTATATGAACAGTTCATTTCCTGTTACTGTGGTATTGCTGTTATTTTGGATTTTGTTTTGAGGTTCAAATCCTTAGTACCGGAACTGAGGTTTTTTTCGGATTTGGTCAGAGAGTGTCACAGAGGTTTAGAGATCCACTGATCCAATAGATGATTCAATGCCAAGTGGAAATAAATTGAGTCTTAAACTTACATTCTCGTAATGCACGTTTAAATTTTCTACCGTTAATATGTCTATCAATATCTTTAGGTGTATGATTAACATGAATCTGAGTCAGTCTACAATACAGGTGCTTCCTGAAATATAATACAAGTTACAAAAATTACGTATTCATAGCTAAATATTGTCCAAACAAAATTGGCCCTACTGTAATGGTAGCAAATATGAGCCAATCAAAACAAAGCACTCGTTATGACGCTTTGTCTAGAAACGTAAACAAAACAAACATTACATATTTTGATGAATATGTACGGTACAGAATTGAACCGGCAAACGTGTTTTGTTTACATGACCTCATTTCTGTTCTACCGATCTGATTGGTCAGATTTAAATGCCACCAATCTCATTTCCACGTCCTCAAAACGAAGGGTAGTGGACTTAGTTTAATACAGGTTAATAAAACCATGTCAAAATATTTGTGAAATCTTAGGTTAGATTACTGTGTTATTCAATTGCATGAATGCTTTTTTACCTCAACCCTCCATCTCTATAAGGGGAGAAACCAAATTCCCGATGTACCAGGTACACCAGTATCAAACCCACTGGGGGTGCCCCACCCTAAACGAAATCAAGTCAATGGTAACTTACTCATGAAATTTTTTGGTACTTGGTACAAGATGATCAGCATGTTCATCATAGTTGTAATCACTCTGTGCCTTTAATTTCAGGAATTTTTTACCACTGATGTAGGTTGTGATGGCTAGCTCGGTTGACGGCATCTCGTGTCCAGATAGACAACATTTTATCTGAAATGAAAGAAAATGCGTTATTGTGCGATAGATATGTGTAAACACAAAGCACTGTCGCTAGCAATTTGAAATGTCATCTCCTAGCTGGGCGTTTAGTTTTGGGTCTAGTAGTTTCCCCTTATTAATAGTCTACTCATTGGCAAGAAGTATTAAGCCACACCACAGCAAGAGCTGTGAAGTCGAAGAATCGGCCTGTCACTAATTTTGAAATTCAATACTGTTAATAATTGTAATTCAGTCTAATTCAACTGACAGGTCAATCAATTCTTACAATTTTCAAAATCAAACTAGCATAGACTACTGATAAATTGAAAGTAGAAAATCTACATTTTGCAAACAAAGAAATTCTTGGTGATTTTAATGAAAATCGCAACACCTACATCCATGAATTTGAAAATTTTCAAAAGGACAGAACTTTCTCACCTTATTTGTCTCTTTATCCAACTCAAGTTCACGATATTTCTTTAGTAATTCCTCAACTTCTGTGTCTAATGTACCCACGTGCTTCTTCAAGGCAGCCATCTTTCTTGTTTACAAAATTCCATTTCCGCTTCCGTTTCTAATGACGACATGTAAACTAAAATGGCTGCCGAATGGAGCTAATATTCTGTCAACAGGTAATCTTTGCTGTTTTCTTCCCTAAATTTCGACTGCTTTAAAATTTTCCGAGTTTTCTTTTAAGTATCCGACTGATTTGCTATTCTTGTAAGTTGACAAGGCTGTTTCTTTCAATATTTAAAGATTTAGACAAGATATTTCGATTTTGTTATTTTCGTTTCTCAAAAAACTCAATTCAAATTACATTTTGACAGATTGGCTAAGTAAAATTTGCGAAATTGACAAACCATTTAAACTGCTTGCAACCTTTGCCAGTGCTTTTTTGGAAGAGTGACTTCTGGGTCTAAAGTTCCATATTCATTATTCTGACAGAATGCATTGTGATATATCTCAGGGGTAGCCTAGTAGCATTAGCAATCTGGAGATGAGAAACTGTTAAATAAAAGAGAAGAAGTAAAGACTAAGAAGAGATAAGATGAGTGGTAATTCAACGATGGCGGTACCTACCCCAACTCCCCAACCCCCCAGATCTAGTACTAATTCACCTCTATCTATGGTCCTAAAAGACAGTAAGTCACCTTATTTTACCTTAATCCTTTGAACCTTGAGTTTAAATAAAATATAACTTTGTACACCTTCTAAAGCGCCATTGAATGCTTATGTTAGAGCATTAATGAGCGCTATATTAAGTTCAATAATCTTAATCCAAGTAATTTGAAAGCTTATAACATTAACATTATGTGAAGTCACTTCACTTAGGTATATAGGCTATCACATAATTATGTGACCAGTAGAAAACATCGTCTCAAATGACCAGACATCTTATAGAACTTTACATCCTTCCTCTGTCCAAAAGCCAATTTTCACTTCAGAAATTTAATCCACATATTTTTGATTCCTTTTTCAGATTTTTTACCAGAAATTCGTAACAGTAAAAATCAAGTTGATAAAAATAAACCTCTACCAACATCTCTTCAGAATGATTTTTTACCTGATGATGTTTTATTTGCCCTGACACAGCCTCCACCCCCCAGGGATAAACTGGGTCCTGCCCCTAAATTACGGAATCTGAACACTTCTACTGTAAGTCCATTGTCTTTGCAGATCAACAACGAAAAATCCTGGAATATCTTCAGAGAAAATCAAACATAACTTCTTGCATCTTTATATATATTTAGTGTATTTCATTGATTGAAAATTCTTAATATTTTCTGCGACCTATTTTCAGGTACAGTCTCGGCCGATTCCAAGTAATGTCTGGAACTATAAACGTCGAGATAAATTCAAACATTTAACAAATTCTACCACCTGTATTTGTGGTGCTGGCAAGTAAGTAATTGGATCTTCTTTTCTTTTTTTTCTTTTTTAGGGTCTTCTGGTGTATATATAAGAAATGTTGGAATTTAGGGTTAAACTAAGCCACAAATATCGAAAGAAATCGTAGGTGATTTAGTCTGTAGAGCGGAATTCAAATGTTTTTCTAAACAAATGCAAATATCGACCCTTATAGTATTTCTTGAAATAACATATAGTAAACTTAAAAAAAAAATTATAAGTTAATTAATAAGGTAATAAATAAGTTCATGCTAATTTACTGAGACTATTCTAATGACCAGGTATATTTGAGCTTGTCCAAAAATGGTGAAAACCTTATTTTGTCTTTTCTAGAGATATATCATTCCTGTATGACGTACCACTTACTAACCCAACACTAGAACGTCCAGATAACATTGATGGTAGTGTCATTAGAAATGATTTTGAGGAAAAACCGAAACAGGTAAATGTATTTTCCATTTACAAAAGAAATTCTGAGATAATTTCAACAAATCGCAAATCTCACATTCACTGATCTGCGAGAATGATTGACAGCTGAATATTGACCAATCAGCTGCCATGTTTTACCTACAAACAACAAAGCGACAAAGGGTGTGTCATAAATGAAATATAAATTTTAATGACTCGTGTATATGTGATAAAATGGTATTGAGGTTTGGGTGCCTTACTTGTAATACAGATGAAAGATATCTAGAAAGATTGGAGAGAGAGTTATTTTGTATGGTGATTAACAACTGTATCTAAGTGGGCGGAGCCTAAGCTGCTCTAGCAGATTCGTGAATTCAATCAACACTGACACAAAGAGCCTTGAAAATAAACAATAAGTACACCAATACTGAAATTGATTACTGGTAGAGCAAATATTTAGACAACTATAATCTATTCCCAATTATAGCCATTACAGCTTCCTGACACTCTGGTACCAGAAGAATATCATATTGTTAAAAATAAAGGTGTATTGGGTATTGAATTCCATGAAGAGTAAGTTAGCAATCTTTTTAAATAACAATATAATTTTATGACAGAAAATAAGTACAATGATTTTTTTCTATTTTGAAGTCACCCTTTTAAAACTGGTCCCCCATTCCATTTAAAGCTACGCACTGAAGGAACGGGTAGAGCTATTGTTATCTTGGCGTTGATTGGTCGATATTCACGTCATACCCTACAGTAACGTCATTGGGGTTCCAAGTTGTCAATAGACGACATCTCGCTAAATCCTGTAGTCAATATTGTTACTGTGAGATTTAGACCGTCTTTGTTGTTAGTGTAGCGATAAGCGAACACAACAGAATACCAGTTTATGTTAACGCCATTATAACACCAATCATTTACTATGGTCCCAAGGGTGCCTTACTTAGTGAACCTAATTACATAAGTTTACTTCAAACGAAATATCATTTATCTTCAAGTTTTTACATATTTGTTGTTATTGACAGTAAATACAGTACTCATATTGAAGATCATGAGAAACATCTGATGGTTTTCCCCTCTATGTAAGTTATATTTTTAATTTTCCTAGTTTAGGTATGACAGCTTGATATGAGAACAATTTATAATTCTTATGGATTGGATCTTTGCATTAAAAGTGAGCCAACTCACCTTACAGAAAAAAATCAATTAACAACTGCTGTGCTATTAAGGTTTCCCTATAATTGAAAATTTTAGCCTATCACTTACCTAACACGAGTGAGGTATTGATTTTGTAGGAAACCAACAAGTCGTTATGAAGTCTTACAGTTGAAGAAAGTTTTAGATGATTTGTTGGAAAAGATAGGGGCTAATGATACAGATGTTGATGTTAGAGGGCCCACTCAGGTACGTAGCCCCTCCCCCAATTTTTACTTAGCCCCTCCCCTGATATCTTTAGCCTTCATATTTCAGAGTCAAAGTCCACTCAGGTAACCTCTCCCCTAATATCTTTAAACCTCAAGAACGTAAGTTTCAAAGGGCCCACTCAGGTCCCTAGCCTCTCCCCCAAAATCTTTATACTTCAAAAGATAGACATGACCCGTATAGCTCCCCATTTCTACAGAATTATAGCCTGCACTTTTTCTAAAATAGCCGCCATTTACTTTATGTAGCTTAATGACCATATGGAGACCATATCTACCCCTGAATATTGTGTATTTCTATTGACAAAGATTTTTTATTTTCTGCTGCTATCATTTAGATTTTTCATTTTAATCATCATCCTTGTATATTTTTATCAGCTATACTTTTAAAAGGTAAACATGAAACTGAAGAGGAATGCATGTGCATTGGGTATCCTTGGGACTTTTGGGACACCCAAAAACCACATTTTTTTCACATCATACATGCTCATTCAATTGTAGATCAAATGTATGCAAAATATAATGATTGACTTTGAATGTTTGTGTATTTTATAGCAGACTACAGTAATTCACTTGCATGTCAATTTATGTTTGTGTCAATAACACGACTGTCAAAATTTATTTTTCACACTTTAGATTAATTAGCTCTATTAATTAGGAAGAATTCTTATTAAAACACTTGTCAATGACATCTATTATTTGTTCATTCACTTTTGTTGCATTTGTCTTTTGATTGGTCAATCATTTCAAATCTAGCTGTATTAACCAATCAAATAAGTGTATTTCTAAAAATCTGGATTTTATCTTAGCTTAAAAAATTTGCGAAACAGGCAATGCCAGTCTTGACCTGTGTTTCACGAGATCACTATCCCCAACTTTAAAGCTTTGTTTGATTGTATTTCAACCTAAAATGGATATTTTGAGGACTAATTATGGCGAGGATGATTTCTTACAGATGCATAATTTACTGGAATTGATTAAAAAAGAACAGAATATTTATAATGTTGTTTTTCATGAACTAATTAGACAGGTAAGGCTCGTTGAATATTTTTAGATTATCAAGTTCTTCAGTTTGCATTGAACTTTTGATGACATAAATCAGTACTGTTTTGATGCTGATATTCCAATCACTAGGAAATTATCAGCAGAATAGGATATACATGTATATACCAACAAAAGATGGCACATTTATATTATTTCTTTAAATGAAACAACATTTCAGAGCTTTCGTTTCGACATGTTTCTCAGGCACATAATGATAATAAGTGATAAGCAATATATATATATATATATATTTGGGCAGTTTTTATTTTTGATCCATAAAATTGTGTCTATACATTGTAAGCTCTTACGTCAATATATTTGATAAACTAATTGTAGACAAGCGTGGAGTGTGCTGAAAGAGGTGAATTATTGGCCACGTTACGTAAAAAATACAGTGATCTGTTAAACAGAATTCCCTCACAGATAAAAAGGTATAATCAGAATTATATTTTTAAAACTGTGTTATTAACTCACTAAATTCCAAAGCATTGAATTGGTTCTAAGCATTTAAGAGCTGCGATGGCCAGAGAGTTAGGCGTTTGCTCTATAGCCTGAAAGTGGGGCTGCAGGACTCAGTGAGTTAGATGCTCACTCAAGGTCTAGAGGTCCAGGTCCAATTTATCACTTATTTGTGATGATTAAATGGGCATAACTCTGTTATAATTATGTTTTTGAATATTCATTGATTTTTAGGCATGCAAAGTTTGAAAGTTTTAATGCATATTTTTGCATGCATCAGTATTGTTCTTAATTATTTTTTTGCTTTCAGTTTGCATGAAGAGGTGATGGCACAGAGAGCTTTAGATAGAAGATTAACAGAGGAACTGATGAGATTTAAAACAACTATCAGTATCTTAACAAGGTCTGTATCTAAATCTCTTTTACCCCTTTTAACTCTGAGTGTGAATAAAATAAACATCGCATAGCCTGAACTCCAAGCTGGGTTAATCCCTCGAACACTGAGTACAATAGTACCTATGCCAGGAAGTAATATGATTTAAAGTGTATTACGTTAATGTTATGTGATGTCACTTGGTAATGACCACTTCACTAGCTGCTCGTTTAAATATTTGATGCAATTATGTGGAGAGTAAAGCGGCCGCTAAATCGTTTAGTAAATATTTATATTTATTTGTTATTTTTTAACTTTTTAGTGAATTAACTGAAATTAAAGAGCATGACATCAGAGTAACCAAGGAGGCTCAAAAGGCTCAGGAAGATGTAAGCCATTTTATTTTAACTATTTCAGTTTAATGAATTCGCCATTTGTTGTGTCAAAAATTTTTCTACATTCTTTTATGGCTGCCATGAAAAAAGGAAAAAAAATTTAAATGCAAAACTGTTCAATAGAGTCAGAATTAAAAAAAAAATAGGCACATTGCTTTATAAAGCCTTAAAAAACATTAGAGAATGGTACAACATAAAACTCCATTCAATTTCATTTTAAAATATTTGGCAAAATATTTTCTTTATTTTGCATCCAAGTTGCATTCATAAACTTTGGACTTTTTCAGTTAAAATATGCATTATCAGAAGCTCAAAAGAATGCCAGCCTGTTGTCTGAATATCACGATTTATACGAACTACAACGTCAAAGACTAGAACAACAGGTCTCAACTTTAACGTCTGAACGAGAACTGTGGAGTACAGCTGCTTACAGCCTAGCCATGAAGGTAAGTGATGATTGAAAACTGTAAGCTAAGAGTTGTCTCACATGAATTGTTAAGTACAGATACAGTTCGATAGTGATGTGGGCCAAGAGTTGTACCAGGGCTATTAATAATAGTGGTGTTTCGAAGAACTCAAAATTCTGGCAGTTGAGACATGTTACAGAACAGTTCATGTTGGTTATAGAGACTGCTATATTTGGGCAAGGAGGTTTTTTGTGTATCAACACCAAAGATGTGAAAATAAATATATAGTTTGGCAAAATGATATCTCAGTGTAATTTAGTCTAACTTCGAAGGTAGGGGTTATAAAACCAAATACTATCTCTAGGCACAAGGTTAGCTCAGTGTGAATCATACATTGGGTGAAAAGTCTGGAGAGATTTCCAAAGCGCGTAAATTTTTGAATTTTAAGCTCCAAATTGCTATTCTTTTCTTTTTTTCACAGTGTGATGCAAGCTAAATCTCCTGTAAAGTAAAGAACTTCTTTTAGTCATCTTAGTAACAGCTTCAAACCCTTTGAATTTATCTTGTAGGTAACAGAAGAATGTCAACTAACCACCGCCAAACGACTTCATGTCAGCGAGAAAGCCTGGGCTAAACTAGCCCACCATTTTACAATTCTACTGAGTGATAAAGACACAGAATTACTCACTATCATCCAGACACATGTAGAAGATTGGCGAGACTTGATTGAAGATTTTAATCTGGCGTTGAAACAAAGGGAAGGAGATATGAAAGATAATCTAAGTTCTATTAAAACTGGGATTGAACGATGGAATCAAGACTTTCATAAAACTTGTTTGTAAGTTGACAGACCTTTTTTAGCAATTGGGAGAAAGGAAAGTGTCAAAGCCTTTTCGAGCAGTCTCTCAGTGAGTTACATGCTTGCTCGCTAACCTGAGGATCCAGACAAAGATCAAAAGGGGCTGACATGACAGCCCAAGATCGTCGTAAATCCTTTTTGGGCTGTGGTTACTGAGTAAGACACTTGTCTGGTCAATTGAAGGTCCATGGTTAAATCACATCATAGAACGAGATGTAAATTAGGATTTTTCAACTGTCAATGATACACGTTTGAGAGGCAATATTTTGCTATAAACTCAGTTTTCCTGGATTTTGTCTTAAATAAAAAATGTTTTTTCAGCAACAAAGAAGGAATGATGATAAAACCTCCAGATATACCCAAAATGAAAATTTTAGCCTCAGATATCCAAGCATGGGAAGAGGTAACTATGAACAAATATTTTTTTGAAAAAAATTATCAATTCTGATTCTACTAAATTCAGTACCGGTACTCCAAAAACTCATATAACAATGAAGCTAGGTTTAAATTAATATAAATATTATCAATATACAATATTAATATAGACTAGGGGATAAACTCATCGGACAAACGATTATTCTTTCCAATTTTACGCAACTAATTTTCTACAAGGCTAATCCTAATTCTTAACAGCAATGTTATAACCTGAAATTATTAATTCTTTATGATATGTAATGGATCTTTCTATTTTGTTCTTGTAGATTTTGAGTAAAGAGTCAGAAACATTCGGTGGTGATCTATTTTTGTCCAATCTTGACATCCTAATGAATATTCGTAAAGAAATGGAAGGCTGGACTGACATGGCGTTACGTGTGTTCGGTCGTCATCGTGGATTGGATGGTAAAACACATACAGAACAGGTTAACATGATGGTACTCAACGAGGTAGGTGGAGCAGACGTATATTTTTAACTTTTGAGCTCTTAGGATGATTATCTTCAGGTTTTTATACCAGGTTTTCCCTGTCAGTGATGCAGGTCGGAGGGACTGACATGAAAAAAGTGTTAGTCTTTCAGATAGGACAATTAACCAAGGCCCTGTGTGATGCAGGCTGTGCATGTTAAAGATCCCTTGACAGTTGGAAATTGAAAATTAGTAGGCTAATGCTCCTGTACTGGCAAAATTACTCTCACTGCATACTGCATGGTGTTGCCAGTCTTCACTAGCCCACATGGTGCAGAAAATTACTCTCTTAATTTTTTGATTGAATTTTCAGGAAGTTGACCAATTATTGAAACAGTTTCATCATAGGGTTACTGGAGAAAATGGTCAGTACACTTAAAATGAAGTTTTTTTCTAAAAATTGGGAGGCAGTAGCTCAGTGAGTCAGATGCTTGCTTAATAAACTGATGTATCCAGGTTTACATCCTGGCATAAATCAAGATGATGCCTTTGGACACACTGAAATTTTTTTTGACATGACATGACATTTCAATAGAAAATAAAAAATGTTTTGCCTTATTGAATGCAGGGCTGATATTATGTACTGTAGGAGAAAAATACTGCTATAGAAAAACTTCAATGATAGTAAGAAATAAAAACATAAGTGCTAAATAAGGGAGACAATCAATGTTAATTATTACAGGAGTCGCCACTGCAGTCATTCATCTAATGAATGCTATAAATAGCTGGGAGAGTCGAGTAACCACAGCGATTAATGGTGGTAAAGATATCAGCGAATCAGAATGGTCCACGTTTTTTATGACATTAGAAGATTGGGTGGGAAGTTTGAACGAAGCGTGTCAATTTATCGGCACCACACAATGTGAAGATGAACGTGCAGAAAATAAACCACATTCCAGGTATTTCACATTTTTTATTGTAAGAGATAACTGTTACCATCATAGGTGTAATGGTATCTTCATATTTTTTTATTTATTTTTTCAAGTGAGGTCAGTATTGCAGGTCAAAGTGGCCTGAAAAAGCATCATTTGAAAGGGGAAATGAACTGAAGACCGAGGTGATTGAGGCTCAAATTTTATTTAGAAATGGTAAAATTTTCCTTGTTGTTTGCTTCATGGCATTTAGTTTCTTTGTTTTGTTCATTTCAGTATTGATATCCATGACACTGTTCGTAAAAGTCAGAAATGGTTGACGACAGCTTCCAGTGCCATAGATAGTGAAGATGCTAAACTTGTAGATCAGGTATGGAAAATTTGTGGTTGGGGTAGAGTTCATGCTTAAAAAATTGGGGGTGGGGAATTTGGGTAGGGTTCCGTAGATAGTGAAACTGGTGGGGCTAAAAGGGGTCAGAATTGATAATTAGGGGTGGGGGAATTTCTGTTGGGGGAGGGGGGGGGGGAATGGGCAAGGATCTTTCCTATTGTTATGGATCAAATAAGTTTAACGATACATTCAGACCAACATGTACTTTAATCTGACAAAAGAGTGATATTAAAGTGGTATTTATAACTAATATTTTTTCTCCTCTAGGTTTCGTCTCTTCATTCCGACATGGTTCAATGGATGGTCCAATTATTGCTGCGCTTGGCCCCAGACAGGGAAGACCACTCTGAGGAGGCTCGGCAGATGGCGCTAATTGGGACGTCCTCCATCCCACAACTTCACGAAACGGTCAAGCTTTTGTTTCAACAACTAGAATTATTCTCAAACTATGTAACACTGTGAGTCCATATTTTTTTTTTAACTATAAAATTTTGTTTCCCTTTCCAAACCTTTTTAAATTCATTGGTTTTTGCTATTAATTTGCACCTGCACTTGCAACAGTGTTTACCACACTGACTCCTGCTTATTAGAAGATATGAAACAACCATTTTTTTTAAAAGATTAACAATTTAGATTCACAAGAATCCTGTCTACTACGGTACTACTAGACATATATTTGACTACTGACTCAAATTCTAATCTAAAATCTTCAAGAATTTCCTGCTTTTGCAAATTCCATGCACATTTAGTTAGCACTAATCAACTCTTTCTTACGATTTGTCACTCTGTCTGCAATTTTCCTCCATTTTCAATTTCTACTGTTATTTGCACTAATGACCTCGGCCAGTGCTTTACAGAAGAGTTTTCCAAGAACTTCCTCACTCATAATATTTATCAACTATTTTAACCTTTTTTATCAGGAGATCTCTAGAAGCGGAAGATCTCGTCACGTTTGTGAACTGTAACTCATTTGAGTCGCTTGCTAAGAAACCTGTCGCTGTTACAGTTTCCTCCCTTTCTATCAAACTAGCTTTGTGAGTTATTTCCCCTAGTTAGTGATGTTCCTTTATTCAATTCATTTTAAATTCTTTCCTTCTATTTTTTGTTTAAGATGACGTGTTATTTTGTTTTGATTTTCATATTTTGATATTGTTGTTCTATTTTTCTTTATTTTCAATAGCTGTTGAGTTATTTGACTTATTTCCTTGTTTTTGCAATGTTTGTTGTATTCAATACATGCTTTTACACATGTTTTTCTTTGTTTTGTTTTTACTATACCTAATAATTTCGATTTTTGTTTTTAATATTTAGAATATATATAAATGTTATGGGCTTCTCTCCAGTAAGCTTCAAAAGTTTTGGCTGAATGTTTTCATGAACTAAGCTACTTTGGCATATATTTCTTGAATTTTTCATGTACATCTTCAATAAGTCATTAGTGTACTGAAATGTAAAACTTAATTTTAAAAGGTCCATTTCATTTCTTTTTCGACTAAAAGCAGTTTCAAAATTTGTGTATGTAGGTCCTAATAGTATTTTGATTGAAAACAACACCAATTTCAATCTTCTAACAATGTGAATTAATGAAATATTTTAGTTGTTGTGATGGTATTGTGGTAGATAACACTCAGAAACGTCAAGATTTACACGAAGAAAATGCTGATCACGAGCTACGAGATCTTCATCGATTACGGGTAAGATTTAAGACAAATTTCATTGAGAGAGGACAACAGCTGCTCAAGAATAATCTGGAAAGCTTTGTCCAAGGTAGGCCTATCATAACTTTTCCCTGTTTGAAAGAGGGAATCAAAATTGACAACTAAGATAAACTTGTTTAAAATGTGCCTCAGCATCAATTTGGATAATTCCAATTTTCAGACAAATGTCTGTGGGTCTTGCAATCCCACTAAAACTAAGCGTTTGAAGACATCACTATATGTTTTTGTTAATTTTAGACGGAATGTGATAGTTGGATACAAACAGCTCAGATTTTAACAAGTCAACTAATGAAGGAACCGATCCATGAACTTTTCCCACCTCGACAGTTGGCAACAGACGTCAAAAAACCTGAGCAGACGGACAGGATCAGTTATAATGATAAAGAAAAGTTGGCGGAGATTGGGGATGAGGGAAAGGTCAGCTTTTTTTATTTTTTGCAAAAATATTGATGAAGGGTCCAAGGTAGGACCTTTGTTTTAATTTATGGACAAAAGTATGGTATGAAATGTGATGTATTTTGTTGAAAAGAAAAATTTGTCAAAAAATTGATTTAGAAAGCACACAAAATTGATGGTCTCTCACAGTCTACAGTTACCTTAAAAAATTTTATCACTATTATTTTGAAATTTGCCCTGGCAAATTTCTTTCCCACATGGGCCTACATTTGATTTTTGGTTTTTTTAATTTTTCAAAACAAAATTGTGCAGGTCTAAAGCAAATATTTAAGAATTTCATTTTGAGAGAATGTATTCAATTCATTCTCTTCTTGATGCAGTTTACAAAGTCAAGTCTCAAGATGAAGAAGATAGATCTACAATAACAAAGAGTGTCATTCTATTTTTTTTCCCTTTCTTTTTTAGGAAGAAGAGGAAAAAGTTGTAAAATCTGAAAATGTAGAATCAAAGAAAACAGAAGAGTCTAACATACCTGCAGCAAAATCCATGGAAACACAGCTCAAAGACACATCTGATGTCAGTGATGGAGCAGGTCAATCTACAGTAGCAGAAGTGCAGCCTTCAGGGGAGGTAACTCAACAAGCACAAAAAGGGGAAGTAACTCTACCACCTCAAAGAGGGGAGATAACTCAACCAGCACAGAC